TTTAATGGCAGTAATGAGAAAAATTATCTGCTATTACTGCTTTTATTTAGCATCGCACTAGAAGTGCTGGTCAGCATAGTAATACAAAGAAAAAAGAAATAGAGATTAGAAAGAAAAACTAATTATTTGCTGATAATATGGCTGGCTACATGGAAAATCTAAGAGTATCTACAAATTATTAGAAATAATAAGAAAATTCAATAAAGTTTCTGGACCCAAGATCAAAAAGTAAAAGTCACTAGCATTTCTATGCACCAGCCGTGTGTATATGCACCAGCAATAGTTACCCTATATGTTCAATGCAATACCAGTCAACATCCCACAGGCATTTCTAATGGAACTGTGACAAGCAGATGTGAAAATTCAGCCAGGAAAGCAAAGGGAAAGAACACCAGTGACAATTTTAAAGAATAAAAATAACAGTGTAATTGTTCTGTCTGGTACTTATCCTATCAGACATAGGTTTAATATAAGTATAGTGATCAAAAACAGTGAGGTAGCAGATATAATACTGCAAAACACTGAGGAAAAAAGCATATTATTCTGTAAGTAATATTGGGGCAATTTGTTATCTTTGTGGAAAAAGTTAAAATTGGATCCCATAAGTAGAAAACAATTCCAGGATTAAGAAATCTACATCTAAAAGTGGTAAATTGTAAAAAAAAAAAAAAAAAAAAAAAAAAAAAAAAATTTAAATGTAGACGAACATTTTTATAATCTGAGGGAAAAAAGGATTTTTTCAACTAGGTACAAAAGATGAGATATCAAAGAAGGATGAATAAGTTTGAGGTTATATTGAAAAAAGTGTTATACATTAAGGCATCAATAACTAAATGAAAAGATAAACTAAAGATTGGAATAAAGTATTTGCTATACATTCAAATGATAACAGTTTGGTATACAAATATTAAAATAACTTCTAATTAATGGCAACCAAAAGGCAAAGTCCACAGTAGATGAATAGGCAGGGAGCTGCACCTGCAATTCACACTGTTAGAAATATAAATGGCCAATTAAAATATGAAAATGTTTACAAACTCACTAGTCCAAATAAGACCTCATTTCATACCCATTAACATCTAAGCACACCAAGTTTTACTGAGGATATGGGGAAATAGGTATGCTGTTGGTGTAACACTTTTGGAGATCAATTTGACAATTTCTAATAAATTTAAAATATGCTTTCTCTATGAACCACCTAGGAACTCAAATTCTAGTTGTCACGACGGTACATATACAAAGACATGCATTGCAACTTTGTAAAATGAAATGTGAAGACAAACTTACTCTGCTTATGGGGATGAAAAAAATAAGCTGTGCTTTATTTATATAACTGGACACTATGCAAAGGCTATCATTACAAATAAACCACATCCATGAAGGGTCTTCAAAAAGTTCATGGAAAATTTGTATTACCTTTCAATTCCATTTTTTCACAAACTTTTTGAAGTATTTTCATATGTATATCACCATGGATAAAATCCAAAAACATAATATTGAGTGATAAAAAGCAAGCTCCAATTGGTATGTGTAAGATGAAACTAACACACGTGAAACACCACAAAACAATAATATTTATTTTTTGTGGACACACGCACACACACACACAGAGTATGAACACAGAACTCTGCAGGGGAATGATATACATAAACCTCCTGGAATAGAAGAAGTAAAAAATGTGTGTCTGACTTTCTGTATTCATTCATTTTTTTTTTTTTCCTAAAGGGAGAGATCTGAGAGCAAACAAGTCGAAGTTCATTAACATTTGCTTCATCTCAGGGGATAGATGAATTGGTGTCTGTTACATCACTTCCTGTTTAAAAGGTTTCCTAATTCAACTTAATTTTTTAAATTTAAAAATGAAATCGGGGAGAAAGCATCCTCCCTAAATGCAGCTGTTTTTCTGCTTTTGATATTTACTTCTTATAGCTCTGCCCTTTCTGGAATTTTAAGGCAAAAAGACGAAGGATAAACTATGATATCTTAATCTGTGAACCTCACTTTATCCAGAGATCAAGGAAGGAGCTCTCTATACCTCAACTCCAAAATCTATCGCCTGAGGCCACAGCAAAGCACCTCCCAGTCTCAAGAGGGTAGTCTGGTCCCGGGGAACAGCTCTCAAGCCTGGGGATGCACGGAACAGCCAGGCTTGGAACTGGATGCCCGTGCAAAGCAGCAGAGGTATTTCACTCTGGTACTTCAGTACAACTTGTGTGGGTGGACAGTTCCACCCTGTCTACACTCAGGATGTGGGGTCAACACCACTGTATCTCCCTGTTCTGAGAAATGCTAAAGTGAAACTGGAGAAATTCAGAGCAACATAGGTCCTTAACCAGGGTAGCACAAAGATCATAAATATGATGGCCCAAAGGTTAAATTTAGCTCTCACTGATACATTGTCTGGTCCATACTATGTTTTTTGGGAAGTTGTAGCTTAGTTGCTAATATTTAGAATTTGAGAAGTTTCTAATAAAAACTTAAGTCCAAGCTTCTCTCCTGAAGTGACTCTGGTGTGGTTGAGTCTGAATTCTAGAATGTCAACAGCTGGTTGGCCTTGAAGATTGACCCCTGCCCCAGTGCCTCACTCCTTACCTCACCTGCTGGCCCCAGTAGGGATTTCAACTCCCCCATTTTACAGATGAGAAAACTGAGGCTCAGAGTGGTCAACTGCCTTGCCCAAAGTCAGAGTTACTCTGTTGAGCGAGTCATGTTGGCACATATTACCCAATCATCAGTTAACTTCTTGTGATTCCTTTTCTTTACAAGATGAAGGCACATTTCATGATTTTAATGGCATATTTTCTGTCTAATCTAGCAGGTACAATGGAAATGATAATTCTTAAAACTTTTAATAAAGGCTTACTTCGAGTGATAATAAAAAACAAACAAATGGATTAATTGTAATATCAGCTAGAAGTCATCAAGATTTGGCCAAAATCAAAACAGAAAATTTTGCATGTAAAAGGTAATAAGGGAATATAACAATATAATTGAAAATGGTGTAATTAGAGGTTGCACAATCACAGAGCATCACTTTTTCAGGCTGATCCTTATCTGAAAGATCAAGTACAATCATCTCCCTCCCCTTTCCCAATCTTGTTTCTTTTCTTTGGAGTCCAGAAGAGTCAGGAACTCTTCCCCAGGCCTCTCACAACGTACACTTCCTTTAGTTTTTTGCTTTTGGGATTCATTTGTTTCTGGCTAAAGCTGGTGGATAATCCACATTGACTTGGATGGGTTTTATCTATCATGCCCAGCAGTATTTAGTTACTTGGGCTGGGCATTCCTAGTCTATGCAAAGTGCATTTTTGTTAGAACCAGCTACATTAAAAGATTACAGTGGATTACAAAAATCCTTTAGTATGTGAAACACTAAATAAATGTCAATCAATAGGGCAATGGTTCAATTAACTTTGGCACATTGTGAAAAACTATGCAACAGAGCAAAATGAAAAAGAGGGAGATCTTAAATCCCAACATGAACAGATCTGTAGGTTGCAAAAGGATAGATGCAGCATGGTATCAACTGTGTTAAAAAACACAAACAAAAACACATATTGTTTGTGGGTCCTTATATGTGTATGTTAATGCACAAAAAATGTCTAGAACAAAACATGAAAGTGGTAAGAGTGGATATGTCCAGGAAGACAGGGAAATGGGGAGAGAGATGGAGGTGGTCAAAGGGGGCTTTAGCTTTGTGTATAACGTCTGCAATGTCTTTTTTTAATAAAATGTCATCTATAGTGTCAATTTAAAATTTAATTTAAATAAAAAAAACTTGGATTTTATGTGGCTATAGGTTCTAAAACTCTTTTTGTGTAACACAAATATTTCTGTGACTATTAATTTTCATAGTTTCAATCATGAAATTTGTAAGACATCTGCTCATCTTGGAAATGAAACTTACTATACTGTGTTGCCACCCAGATTAATTTTTAAGTGTAAAAATAACACAAAGTATTTGAAAAGTTAAATTTCACTTTTACCAATTAAAATCAAGTCAGTCTAACTCTAGGAGGCATAACAGCTTTGGAGAACACGCCGTTTATCTTTAATGGCAAAGAATAAGAAATATGAGGCAGATTTAAATGAACCAAGGATCACCCAAATTCCAAATCAAAATCAAATGAAAGTGAAGGATTGCTTAATTTATTCTAACACGAGTTCTAAGCTGCTCTTAATTTTTCAGTGACATCAATGGAATACTGAAGGACAAGTTTTGACGACGGGGAAACTGAGCTCCAGAGAGGTTGGAGTCCAGGGTGAGGTCATAATTAGAAAGTGGCAGGGCTGGGACTCCCCCAAGCCCCCCTGCTGAGCCGTCTGCTCTGATTCACTGAGGTGACATCGCGCACCCGCCTATCCGGCCTTCTCACATGCCATCTCTGGCGATTGTCTGTCTACTTCTCTATTTGCTGACTTCTGGAGGCTTTGCCCTCCATCCCGCCTCCTCGGGCACTGACAGGCCCCCTCCTCCCGCAGCCCCGCGCCCTGCACCTGTCCCCGGGGCATCCCG